AGTTCCAGGCCCACAGTGACTCCAGAACAGAAGAGCGAACTTGGCCGATCCGGACGCTATCCTGCTTTGTAGTGGCTTCCTTAAGGGATCGATAAGGGATCTTTCAAGGGATCCATAAGGGTTTAGGGTCTGGGGTTGAAGGGCTTGATGGTTTGATGGACGCGGGCTTTTTATGGGCTCTACGGGGCTTCACAGGGCTTTGAAGTCCTGATATATGAACTTTCATAAAACGTCCTCAAAAAAGGCTCCTGCAAGGGCTCTAGAGCAATCTGGAAAAGGATTCTTGCTCATAAAGGCTTGAAGGTCTAGAAAGATATGGGGCTTAGAGGGGTCGGTTCGCTTAAGGGTCCATGAAGGGTTGTTCCAGGTTGCTAGACGGCTTTTTAAGCAAGGCTTCAGTGCCGGCTTAGGGTGTTCGTTCGACTCAGCATGGCCGCACCGGCCTCCCGTGGCAAGACGGCTCAGTCGCAGCAAGCATATCTGCTGGTGCGATTCATATAGACCCTGTGAATCGCAGCGCAGACTCTTAGTGGCTACCGCGTAGATAGCAGACTCACCCACTGCCGCTGAAGCTGGTGACGGTCGCGCCGGAGCTGCAAGCTCGAGATACCTGGTCACCCACTCGATCATGTTGGCAGCACGTAATTGGGGTTGAGAGTCCGGGGCTTGAGGTTTGGGGTTACAATGACCAAACCACTCTGCAAAACCCCGCGCCCAAGGAAGGACATCCCTGAGGATTCTTTAATGGGCTACATCGGGGGTTTTTCTGCGTGCTAAAGCGCTCTTTCAGGGGACTCTTCGCGTTGGAAAAGTGAACCCGACTGACATGCCAGAGCTTCCGAAAACAGGGGACCCCAATATAGCACCCTGAACAGCAGGATCCTTGTTATAAGGACCCCAAGATAAGGTACCCCTGATTTTCGGAAACTCCCAAATAGCAGTAGATCAGGTCGCCCAAGCCGGTCTGACGGTTAAGGGCAGTCTAAAACCCACAAACCCCAAATTCAGAAGACCAGACCGGAGACCAACCCCTAAATCGTACTTAGACTTGGGGGGTGTGGGGATTAAGGTATATATACCCTAACCCCAAATAACCTACCTTTTTAAGGACTTATCGAAGGAACTCATAATAAGGAACCTGTTGGCTGACGGACTGCGTGCGGAAGCCCGTGAGGAGCTTGCGCTGGACCGCTGAAGGGGTCACGCGGCAAGTCCTGAAAGGTCTTGTTCCTCGTCTCCATCGGGGTACTCCCCGGGATCTCCTCCAACGTAGCTTTGCGTGTAGGCCTCGTTCTCATTCTCGGCGTAGTCCTCTTGTTCCTGGTCCTGCTCCAGGATCCTGTCGAAGTAGGCTCTGTCTGACCACTCTCTTATGTTTTCCTGTTCCTTCCCTGGCGGCTGACACTTTGCCCACGTTCGCCCGGCAGCGGTGCTGCCTGCGGAGTGGGCGCTGGACCACGGAACGGGTCACGCCAGACCTGAGGCACCGAAAATGCGACTCCTGTGGGAGCTGCCCGCGGATCCTCCTCAAACCCTAAACCCTGAACCCTAAACCCTAAATGAACATCGGGCCACAGGGACAAGAACTCGCATCCTCCACTGCGCCGGGCTTCGGGGCAGATCTACGCGCTTCAAGATTTGGGTTTAAGGTTTAGGGTTTAGGGTTTGGGTTTAAGGTTTAGGGTTTATAAGTTTAGGGCTAAGGGTTTAGGGTTCAGGGATTAAGGCTTAGTGTAGGGTTTCGAGTCGAGTGGGATCAGTTCGTATATATTCGTTCTGGGGGTGCTACGCTATTGGTACTCTTGCTGGTTCTTGCAAGTGTTTGCAGAATTGCTAGTCCGAGTATTACTATCAGAAGGGTTTAGGGTTTAGGGCTTCACAAGGGTATGCCTACTCTGTTGCTCCCTTTGCAACTAAAGCCTTTGGGGTCGAGGTGTTGGTGGTATAGCCGCACCCTGAACCCTAAACCCCACAATCCTGAGCACAAGAACCCTAAACCCGAAAATCCTAAGCTCAAGAAACCTAAACCCGACCACGCTTGCCTCTGCTAGGCGAAGTCGCAAGATTTGCACCTGCGGCTGTGACATGGCAGATTGAAACTTGATTTTTTCGAGAAGCTGACAACTACACTACTAGACTTTCTTTGGGAATGCTCATTCTGCTGCGAATTGCAGGATTTTCGCTAGGATTCTGATATTCCGAAACTCGTCTACAAAGACACTGGCCAAGCTTGACAACAGGGAAGAACCCTTAAAGCAGGCTAAGGGTGCCGCAGGCGTGCAGCAGAATCTCAAGTGTTACCGTGCAGCGGTGTAAGGTTTAGTGCTGTCTCTGTACCCTGGTTCGAACTCTGCAATCTTTTTTTTTTTTACTACCTTAACTTGCAGCACAAGCAACAAGTCGTTGGCGCTAACCTACTTCCTGCTAATTTACTACGGTCCCGGCGTCACTGTTGCAATGAATGTTCATAAACACTGATTTTACACTTCTTTGATTCCTATAAAAGGCTTTCACACTGAGTTACTTCACACAGAGAGAACTTCACACTGAGCTTCACACTGAGCTTCACACTGAGTTTCTTCACATAGAGACTTCACATCGAGCTGCTTCACAATGATTTGTTTATAATGGCTGAGACCAACCAACACACTTGCGACCTTCAATAGATGTATGATCACTGGAAAGGTGGTTGGTATCTTCTGGCATGATCAATAATCGTCTCTCGTATTGCTCGGTCGTGTTTATTGAAAGGCACCTTCGGAACCGAGACATCTTTTGATGTGATTATGTTCCAAGCTTTTTCCATATTCGTGGTAGTCCAAAACTGTCTTGGACGGCCTACTCTCCGTTGTTCTGTTTCTCGTGGCACAGCAGACTGCGTTTTGAAAGCGGCTTGATGCAACGGATGTTGGCGGTCCCGACGTAACACATGTCCTAACAGCTTTAGTCTCCGTTCTCCGAGAACTTCTGTGAGGGGCTTGATTTTTCGGTGTATGCCCGCGCTTGGGGCATTCGTGACTTCGTTAGCTCTTTTGTACACGTACTCGTTTGTGTTGCTGCGATTAATAAACGTAGTGTGCAACTGAAGAATTTTTCGCAATCCTTTCAGCTGAAAAGTATTGAGCAATTTTCCTGCTGATTCTGTGGGTTCCAATGTCTCCAACCCATAAAGAAGTTTGCTTGTAATGACGGCGTTGTAGACCAACAACTTCCATTTCTTGTTACAATTCGTTTTAAGCCAAAAGATGTCCAGCTTTTTTAAGATGACCATTGTAGCAGAGATTCGTCTACGGATTTCCTGACTGGGGTCAACTCGTTTTGAGACCGATGCTCCCAAATAAGTCGTCTCTTGTACACACTTCATTCTTTCCCCACTCTTGAAGCGTATATTGCCTCTGGCATTATATGCAAGAAAACAACATTTCGATTGATTTAGTTTCAAATGCAGGTAATCGGACTCTTCTTCAACTAAATGTAAGTAGTCATTGGCAGTCTTTTGGCTTTTTGCAACGATTAATGTATCATCCGCGTACAACAACTCTTGAAAATTGATGCCCTGGAAAGTTTTTCTGCGATTCGTGTCATTAAAGCTGTCCTTTACATCAGAAAACATGACATGCATCGTTAGAATAAACAGAAAAGGGCTGAGGGGACAGCCTTGTCTGATTCCTGTACGCTGTGTGAAACGGCTACTTGTATGTGAATTATGATTGACCTGGAACATTGGCATGCGGTAGAGAGCTTTGATAGCGTCTAACATGTCATTGGGAATGTTCAATCTAGCAAGCGACGTGAACATCTTCTCATGATCAATCTTATCAAAGGCCTTTTCCCAGTCTAAAAATATCAGGAACAAACGTTCATGTCCTTGTTCAACGACGTCGGTGAGACGTCGCACGCAAAAAAGAGCTTCGGCTGTTGACCTGCCTTTCCGGAAACCAAACTGTGTACTTCCAATGTGTGCGTCAATAGCGTTTGCTATTCTAGCTTTGAGAATGTATGCGAAAATTTTGTAAGTCGTATTCAATAAAGATATTGGCCTATAATTCTCAGGATTTTCATGATTTCCTTTCTTGTACAAAAACACTATCTGAGCAAATGCAAAATCATCGGGCACATGTTTTTTGTTCCACAAAACATTCAGGCATCGTGTAAGTTGTTGAATGTTTTCTAGGTCGAGGTATTGGAAAAGTTCGTTAACCACTCCGTCTGGACCTGGAGCCTTGTTTGTTTTCAGCTTTCGAATCGCCTCCTGAACTTCGGTACATGAGAACTCACCTGTCGGAATGTTTAAATTATTGTCAATGATTTGTCTTCTATGGGGATCGACAGGACTAGGATTCTTATTAGGTGCCCATTGTCTTTCATAAAGATACTCAGCCAAGGCAAGTGCTTTCTTGTTCATGGGTACCCTGTTGCCGTGTATATCTTTCATGCTATAGAAATTAGGGACAAAAGGTTTCTTCTCGTATCGAATATTACGCCAAGCTTCTTTTACATCAGACAAGTCTTGCAGTCGCTCCATCTTCCATGACTGTTTATCTTTACGCGCTTGTTTTGTAATCTCTTTGTTCAATGCCTTCTCCTCCTCTATCTTGCCATTATCTCTAGCTGTTTGTCTATCCTTTGCAATCTTGGGAGCCTTAACTTGAGGGTTTAGGGTGTTGGGGCTTCGGGATTTAGGGTTTTACGGAAAAAAGTGTAGGGTTTGCAAGAATTCCACTTCTGTCATCTTGAGCTCTCCGGCGTACGAAGATATGCCTGCGTAGCTTGTTGTGGATCGAGTTGAGTTGGGGAGAAAAGATCGGCTGTCCTATCGTAGCCTTCGGCCTGCCATTGGGAGCCTCTCGCTGTCAATCCATATCTGCATTAGCTCGGGCACACAGGCGAACCATACCGTGCAAGCCTATCGCTTGCATGGTAGCGGAGCCCCGTAAAAAGGGCTCGTTAGATCCGGGGAATTGACTGACTGACGTTCTACCTCAGTCAGAAGACAAGCGATGGCACAAGAGAGTGCCGCGAAGTCACGGGATGGTGCGCCCAGCTGGGATGGTGCCGCGGATAGCTTTCAGAGTTATTGCGAAGCCGCATTACTCTATGAGCAAACAACTCCGTACCACAAGCGTTACCTCGTCGGCCCTAAGCTTCAGAGTGAACTTCAGGGAGCTGCACGAAGATTGATTGTGGGCCAGGCACCAGACTGGATCTCCTATAACGGAGGTGTGCAGGTCTTGTTAGACCATCTTCGTCGCTGCTTGGGAAAACCTCAAGTTCCCGAGTTGACGGAGTTGCTGAGCCGCTACTTCAAGAACTCTCGCAGGAAGCCGGGGGAATGCATGGGTGACTACATTACCAGGAAATGTGAGCTCTACGTTCGAGCGCAACAGTCCATGCACAGGCTTCGACCGCATCATGATTCAGTTCCTGTTCCTACCGGTGATCCTTGGGATTCATGGGGTCGTTCGGGGCGAAGATTGAGCCAGGACTCTAACATGACCTCGGACTGGGGAACAGAAGCTGAGGACAATCAGAGTGCGCAAGCGAGTGAGGCAACCACACCAGCCGCCCCGACAGGGGCGGCGGCGGCAGATCAGAATCAGCCCGGCAACGCAGAACCAGAGTGGCAGTGGGGTGGCTGGCACTCTGGCTGGCAGTCTCGGAATTGGGGATGGCAGGGTTCCTACACCAGGAGTTGGGATTGGCATTCAAGTGCCTATCAAACCCCTAAAACTGGCGTCCTGCCTCAGCTCGTTCCGGAGTTCGTTCAAGCATGGATGTTGCTTCAGGATGCAGGGCTAGATCCTCAGGAAAAGAACACGGTGATGATCGCCACGCAGGGCCAGATGACCTTGCAAAGAGTGGCGCAGGAGCTGAGGAATCAGTTCAGCGATATCGATCTCAAGAAGCGTGATGGCACGAAGCGCCACCAAGGCTTCATGGGCGATCATTACGGTGACGGAGATTCTGAGGACGAGGCCGCTCCTGAAGCTTCCTTCATCGCAGAGGACGAGTTGAACACCGAAGGTTTGGCATTGTGGGCAGAGGCTGAAGAGGAAGTCCAAGGTGCTCTCGCGGTGCTTCATCAAGCAAGGCGCACTCTTCGAGGTGCGCGTGATCGTCAACGTCAGGTGAAGCAGAGTCGGCAGTACTTTAGGTCCGGACCTCCCGCGAATAAGGCCTCAAACAGTGGAACCGAGAAGATTTCATGCTTGAAGTGTGGAAGTGTGGGGCATCGCACTTATCAGTGTACAGCTCCAGCCAAGCCTAAAGAGAATCGAACCGAGATGGCCCCCTTCATTTGCTTTGCGGATGAAGGATGTTCAGAGCTCGCCCTACATGCCCAGCAGAAGATGTCGCCTCGGCCCATCACAACTTCCGAAGCCGTAATGATGGGAAAGGGAGTGGTAGATTGTGGGGCGACAAAATCCTTGGGTTCTGTGCTAGCTCTGGAACGCATCATGGCCTTGAGTAAGAATGGGGTGAGTGAAGTGGATGTGGACAATCGGCCTACGTTCGGATTTGGCAATAGTACGGAGGACCAATGTGTATCCACACTGAATCTTCGGTTGAGCGCCGGAGGTCGTCCAGGCCTTCTTCGCATCCACGCCCTAGATCGGGGCACAGCCCCAGTGCTTGTGAGCGTCGATGCTCTACGATCTCTTAAGGCCATCATTGACTTCTCGGACGATAGCATTGTTCTTCGGGGTATTGATGCAACCAAGGTGATGGTGCTAGAGCGCTCTTCCACAGGTCACCTGTTGCTGCCGCTTACCGGAGACATCCTGGAAGGAGCAGTGTCCACTCACCGCCCCGTACCAGGCCTACGCGAGTATGTTCAACAGCTTGATGGCCATCTCCCTAGTGGTGACGTGTCCGGTTCTGTGAAGGAGTTGGTGCTTGAGGCATCCACCGGACACGGTGATTTTGAGGCTTGTCCCGAGTAGGGACAACACCTTCCCGATCCGAGTCTTGACGGAAAAGGGAAGGACCACGGTGATGTTTCAAGACAGGGTTTACTCACAACTGAATCAGGTTGTGCAGGTATGTTAACGCATTCCACTTGTACAGTTTCGGATGCATTAGGAGAGTGTGCGCAGGCTAATCTTGTTCTCAAGACGGACGTGCAATTGAGTACTGTTGCCGCAGCCGCAAACATCGCAGATCACAGCGAGACCATAAGTTCCGAAGTCACTCTTCCCCGAGATCATGGACCTCAACTTGGAGGATCTTCGCAAGGCCCTTCGCGATCTAGGCGAGGACCCCTCGCCCAGCTGGACGAAAGTCGAGTTGCGCTATCGCCTTCAGGAGCTCACGGGGAAGGACACCAGCATCAACGTGAAGACGCCGGCCAAGGACACATCGCCCATGTTGGGCTTGGTCAAGAAGCTCAATGCTGCGTCCCGGAAGAAACAGGATCTGGTGACATTTTGTCGCGACGAGATCTCCATGGACATGAGCGGCCTCGAGAACAAGACCATTGCCCAACTCCAGATGCTTGCCATGAAACAGATCAGTTCCCACACGGCACTACATCCTACGGATCTCCTGGGTTTCGGGAAACATGTTCGACGCACCTATCTGGATGTGGCCCAGAACGAGAAAGAGTATTGTTCATGGGTCAAGACCACGGCGGAGGAGAACCCTCACAACAGCGATCCTCGTCTTCGTCGCTTTGCCCGATGGCTCCAGCTCCAGGAGGATTGCGAGATCCTTCCCGAGGTAGCGCCCAAGAAGGATTTCACCACTCAGTTCCGCCCGGCGGCTCGCAATTCAAGCACCAAGAAGAGTACCGAAGCCACCAACAGCGCAAGCGCGTCCAGTTCGAGCGAGGCCATGAACCAGCAGATGATGGCGACCATGTTCGAGATGATCAAGGATCTCCGAGGGGAGATTGCAGAGCTCAAGGGCGAGCCCGTTCGCAAGAAAGGTGTCAAACCGGAGGAGAGTGGGACGGAGACGGACGGCTCCTATGCGATGGTGACGGTCCAAAAGTCGGCGCCCAATTCCCTAAAGGCGCCTGTGCCATCAGAGACGAGCTCCCCGTGAGACCGTCTAGTGAGGATAGCGATCATGATCAGCAAGATGCACTTGGGGAGGGGCGGTGTTCAGGATTGAGCGTTTCACGGTTGAGTGCCTCTCAGAGACTTAGCCAACAGCTGTCCGTAGGTAAAGCCCGGGTTCTAGAAGAAGAAGCTGAGAGCGTGGTGCCTAAGTTACTGCAAGGCTTGGTGTCTTTGCAACGCACGGCCCTCCTTGAGGTAGCTTGTAGTCCTGAAAGCAAACTCACTTCCGCAGTTCAGTCGCTCGCGGGTGATCCTGCTGTGGCGAGTCGTTGCTCTTGGTGGAACAGTGGAGACTTGAGTAATGATTCAGGCGTGCGGCACATTCTCGACCGACTGGACATTGAGTGCCCAACACATGTGTGGATCTCTCCTCCCAGCGATGCCTATTCTCCTCTGCAAAACTTGAATCAGCGTAGTACCCAACAACATGATGAGCTTCAGAAGAAGCGCAGTGAAGCCATGAAGATTCTGATAGGCGCTTGTGTTGTGTTTCACGCCTGCATGCAGAGAGGGATCCACGTGACACTTGAGTTACCCGAACGATGCCAAGCTTGGAGAATGCCCGTCTTCCACAGTTTGAAACATAAGTACTCCTTGTTTGAAGCTGTCACCCAGGGTTGTAGAGTTGGTCTTCGTAACAGCCCAAAAGAACCCTTAATGAAGCGCGGTTGGAAGCTGCTGACGACGCATCGTAGATTGTCTGAGATCATGAGTTTACCGTGTGTGTGTCCTAAGTCGTATGGGCACGGGAGATGTGAAGGTTCCGGGTCTTGGCGTAGCGAGCTGTACACCACGGAGTTTGCCCGCAAGGTTGCAAAAGCCATCGTGCAAGAGCACAGCATGAGTACGACGCTTCAGGAGTGTCAAGGACGTAGTCAGTTGTTGCCTCGTTTCGGTGAGGGCTCCTGTTGTGTTTGTAAGGAAGTGACCTTGCCCCAAAGACCCCGAAAGTGTGCGCATTGTCTCCAACAAGTTGGGGAAAGGGATGCTGAATCGGGCTCGGAAGTCCAACTGGACTCTGGAAACTTGGCTCGCCCCAGTGAGGGCGCAATTGAGACGTTGAATTTCGAGGGTGACGAAGGGTCCTTGGGAGATTTCGATTCGGAAGAGGTGTTTCTTCTTCGGGAAGAGATTGAGTCTGTTGAGGAAATTGCCCAAAAGTTGCCAGGTAACGCGGACTTTCGACATGATTCCTGCGAGCAACTGCTCGAAATGATTCCCTACAAGGCCCAGAAGCATCATAGGAGCATGTTAGGATCCCAACCCGCGTCCTACATTGCCCTGGGAGCCTTCTCGCATGGTAACCATTACGGAGTGACCCAACGTACGAAACAAATCCCTCAAACTGTGAAGTATCTTCTGCGGTATATGAACCATTGGAACAAAGGAAGTTTTACGTGTACGTCCCTGGTGATCAATCATAACGCGCAGTGCCCTTTGCACAGGGATGTTCACAACGACCCCGACTACCTTAATCGGATCATAGGTCTGGGCTCTTACACCCAAGGGAAACTGTGGGTTGAGTGTCCAGACCTCTCAGTGCCGCAGAACCTCACTCGCAAGGTGTTGCCCAACGGAGCCGTGGCGAACGGCCAGCTTCACGACATCAGACATCGATTGGTGGCCTTCCCACCGAAGGCGTGGCATGGCCCGGAAGATTGGAAGGGTGAACGTAGTACGCTTACGGGTTATGTGAGTCGAGGGTGGTTCCAATTGTCTTCGGAGGATTTGGTGTTTCTGGAGTCCTTAGGATTTGTGGTTCCTCCACCTAAGCCCCAAGCGTGCGCCTTGTCCCATAAAAGTCCCGAACCTAAGGCTCAGAACCCTAAACAACTTCACAAACAGGAAAGAGAAAGGGTTCAAAAACAATTGTATCTGCTGCATGCGGCTACGGGACATGGCAGTGTGAAATCCTTGGTGGATGTCCTGAAGCGTAGGAACGCTCATCCCGAAATTCTGAAGATGGCCCAAGATTTCAAGTGCTCAGTTTGTGCCGAGAAAGCGAAAGTACAACCTCGTCATCTTTCTTCTCTAGAGGCCCTTCCCCCAAAGTGGCATACGGTGTCCACGGATATAGGACACTGGAAGCATCCCAAGACGGGTGAAGTGGTCCAGTTTATGTTGATTATTGATGAAGGTTCGAGATTCAGGGTTGCTCGGATTCTTAGCAAGGGATCAAAACAACAACCAGGAGCAGCAGCCTGCCTGCAATACTTGCGCGAGGGCTGGGGTTCGTATTTCGGTCTTCCGAGGGCTTTGAGATTGGATCCGGCGGGAGCTTTCAGATCTCAAAGTGTGGTGGACTTTTGTGATCGGGAACACATCCTGCTGGATATTGTTGCAGCGGATGCGCACTGGCAAATTGGCGTGTGCGAACAAGCCATTAAAGGTGTGAAAGAGGTGATGTCGAAGATGTGTGATGATGACGATCAGGCCACTCCAGAGACTCTGTTGGCTACTGCAGTGTCCGTGTTTAATCAGAGGGATCAAGTTCGAGGATTCTCTCCGGTTCAACATGCCTTTGGTCGAAGTCCTGATATCACGGGTCGTATCGTCACCTCATGCGCTGAAGTTCCTGATGACTTGATTGTGGAGTGTGCAACGGCTGAGTTTGAAAGGTCTGCTCAACTTAGGGTTTCCGCAGAGAAGGCACATGCGGAGTGGCATGCGGCACAACGAATCAGTAGAGCTGTTAACTCCAAGTCTAGACCTCGACACACGTATCAACCGGGTGAGTTGATCTACTTCTGGCGCTCGCAAGAATCTGGACAGGGTCGTAAGAAACCAGGGTCTAAACAGGGTAGGTTTCTGGGTCCTGCTCGTATCTTGGCTGTGGAATCCAAGCGCGATGCTGATGGCAGTTTGTTGCCCAAGAGTGCGGTGTGGTGTATCCGAGGTAGGCAACTTATCAAATGTAGTCCTGAACAGTTGCGGCCCGCTAGTGAACGCGAGGAGTTACTGGAAGCTGTGTCTCGTGAACATGGTCAAGAGCCTACCCCATGGACCTTCACCCGTCTCGCTAGTGAAATAGGAGGTAATCAGTTTGAGGACGTCTCCGAGGAAGGCCCCACTGATGCGGAATGGTACCGGGCACAGGATGTTCAGGAAGAGACTCCCCCGCTGAGGTTTCGAGTGCGAAGCAAACGAGCTGAACCAGAACCCACCACGGTTGAGGATGATGAGGATATGGAAGCCGCGCATCCGTCAGCTAGCTCTAGAGGCCCAAGACCTCGTGTTGGTTCCCCAAGTTCCCTCTTTCTGAGTGGTGAGTCTGAGAGATGGACCTCCCAGGTTCCTGAGTCTGCGTGGTCTGCTGAGTGTGTGTCGTTCTGGGAAGATCAATCGGCTGCGGTTGAGGTTGAGATCGACATGCCAAACACAGCGAGGCAGTGGGAACGCGCCACCGCAAACTTATCCGCGTATTTCACAGGTGCCCTGAAAAGACAGGCTGTCGAGGTGTCGGAAAAGCGTCTTAGTCCCCAGGAGTTGGCCCAATTCAAGGAAGCAAAAATGATCGAAGTGAAAAACTTCCTTGCTGCCAAAGCCTTTGAGGTCTTGCCCAAACATTTGCAGCCTAGTAAGGAACAGGCCATAGGAATGAGGTGGGTTCTTACGTGGAAAACGAAGGACTCAGGCGAGGTTAAAGCCAAGGCAAGGGCGGTTCTTTTAGGCTACCAAGACCCCGCCTATGAGCATCGTGCCACTACCGCCCCGGTTATGACTAGACAAACCCGTCAAATGCTGTTGCAAGTTGCTGCGAATCACCGGTGGAATGTCTATAAAGGTGATGTTTCAGGTGCGTTTTTGCAAGGCAGAGAGTATCCTGGGTCCCTGTTTTGCATTCCGTGTGACGAAATATGTGACTGCATGAACATTCCTCGTGGATCAGTGACTAAGCTGAAACGTGCGTGCTACGGGTTGGTGGACGCTCCCCTTGAATGGTACAAAACGGTCTCTGAGTTCCTGGAATCCTTAGGACTGGAAAGGCTTTGGTCTGACGCGTGTTCCTGGGTTTGGCGTTCCGAAGGTAGGATTCAGGCTATGGTTTCAGGGCATGTGGATGACTTCTTGTTTTCAGGAAACGAAGATAACCCGAGGTGGAACGAGATTGTCCGGAAGATTAAGGAAAGGTTCCACTGGGGCGATTGGGTCTGCAACGAGTTCATTCAATGTGGGGTGAAGGTTTCTAAGACGGAAACGGGGTTCTGTTTGTCTCAGGAGAAGTATGTTGAAGAAATCCCAGAGATCCCCATCAGTAGCACCCGCCGTAAGGATTCGAAGGCTGCCACCACAGGGTGGGAGAAAACGCAGCTGAGGGCACTACTGGGTGCACTTAGCTGGCACGCACAGCAGGTTGCTCCCCACATCAGTGCCGAAGTAGGGATCCTTCTTTCCGAAGTCAATACAAGTACAGTGCAGCATCTCACTCAGGCGAATCAGCTGCTTCAAAGCACTCGGGCGCGCAAGGGGCATCGGATGTTGATTCACGGGTTCGGTCCTACGACGGAGCTAGGTATGTATGCGTGGGTTGATGCCGCTAGTCAAAATCGTCATGACGGAGGTAGCACTCAAGGTGTTTTTATCGGCATAGCCCCCGTTGCCTTGTTGAAGGGTGAAGTTTGTCCGATTACTCCAATCTCTTGGCACTCCCATAAAATCGATCGTGTGTGTAGGAGTCCAGGTGCCGCGGAAACCCAAGCGGCCGTCAACGGTGAAGACCAACTAGTGTACGCCAGGTATCAATGGTCCGAGATTCTGTATGGCAATGTGGATACTAAGGATCCCGACACGACTGTGAGACGTACTACCGGATGTGTGATCTCCGATTCCCGCAACGTGTATGACAAACTGCAGACAGAAGTCCTCTCTATCAAAGGTGCCGAAAAGCGCGCGAACCTGGAGCTTTTGGCCCTCAAGGAAGCACAATCGCGAACCAATGTTCACATTCGTTGGGTTCATTCAGAAGCACAACTTGCCAACACGCTTACCAAAGCAAATGGAGGTCGTGAACTTGAACTCTTTTATCGTATGGGACATCAATGGCGAATTGTCGAAGACGATCGAATGCGTTCAGCGCGGAAGCGGAAGGCAGAGGGCATGTCGCCTCTCCAACAGGAGTCAACAGCAGTTCAAACTCCAGAAGAACAAGATTAGCCTGTAGTCACTACCGGCAGGGTGGGATGCAAGAAATCCACTTCTGTCATCTTGAGCTCTCCGGCGTACGAAGATATGCCTGCGTAGCTTATTGTGGATCGAGTTGAGTTGGGGAGAAAAGATCGGCTGTCCTATCGTAGCCTTCGGCCTGCCATTGGGAGCCTCTCGCTGTCAATCCATATCTGCATTAGCTCGGGCACACAGGCGAACCATACCGTGCAAGCCTATCGCTTGCAGGGTTTAGGGCTTAGGGTTGCGGGTTTAGGGTTTTGGGGCTAGGGTTCAGGATTCAAAAATCAGGGTGTCGATCACAAGTGCCAGAGGAACGGGCACTCTGAACCATGCAGTGCTTTGGCACGGCTTGGACTATGGATGTCTTTGCCCCTGAACCCTAAACCTTCAAGCTTCAAGCCTACACCCTAAATCCCAAACCCTAGACTCTGGGCCCCAAGGCCTAAACCTGAATCCTAAAGCCTAACCAAAAGGGTTCTCTAGGGTGTAGGGTTTAGTTTTTAGCAGCGCTTAGGATTTAGGTTGTAGGGTTTGCGGCAGAAGGTTTAGCGCTACACCTTTAAAGCTGAACACAGGGGCCTTACCGGTTTGGCAACTAATGATAGGGTTTAAGGTTTAGCGGTTAGGTTTAGGATTCGAAGAGGGTCTTGCGGATATTCTATCCCACAATTTTTAGGGGGTCGAAAAGGGGATACTGCCGGTAATCGTTCCGACCCGCATAATCCAACAAGGTTCTTCTAGGGATGATTGAGTGCTAAAGAGCTTTACAACTGTATGACATTTGATGTTGGGGCCTACCGCAAGTGGATGGCATTGTGGTGTTACACTATGGTAGAACTACAGCGACAATACGGGGATGTGGTTGCTGGTTCATCAGAACCACCAAAATTCAACTGGGTGCTTGCCCAGGGCTACGACTATATAGAAGGATAGATCTTAGATCGATCGGTGGATCGGGTGCGAGAGAAACCATGCATATGTACGAGAAACATACACAGAGGAACTTGTATACTACGGGAATTTGCCCAAATGGGTGACCCTTATATAGTACCCAAAATCGGAGGATCCTGATTATAGCATCCCAAAATAAAGTACCCCTACTTGTCGGAAGCTGCCACATATACTTGCCACTACTCTGCTTTCCTCATTCGGAACCCAGAACCCTTAAACCAAGCTCAAACAAGGAATCGTATGTTCAGAGTACAAATCTCGAACCCTGAACCTAAAACGTTTACTGCTTAGGGCCTCAAACATTGAACTTTAAACCCAAAACCTCGAAACCAAAACCTTGAACCTCAAATCCTCAAGAAGACGTGTCACATGGGCCTCAGGTACTTTATTTTGGGGGGCCTTATCAGTAGGATCCTACTATTTAGGGTACTCTATTAGGGTCCCCTATCTTCGGAAACTCTAAACCCTAAACCCTTTATAGAACCCCTATAGATCCCTTTAAGGAGCCCTTATGGTAACCCTTTTCGGAAACTCCCACGGGCCTCAGAGTGGCCTTTCTTCCTCATCGACATCAGGTTCGGCACTCGCCGTCGCATGGCTCCCTCAGAAGCTCGGGGTTTTTTTCGGATCTCTGGTTGAGGGTTTAGGGTTTTAGGGGTTTAGGGTTTAGGGGTTTAGGGGTTTAGGGGTTTGGGGGTTTAGGGGTTTAGGGTTTAGGGTTTAGGGGTTTAGGGGTTTGGGGGTTTAGGGGTTTAGGGTTGAGGGTTCAGGGTTTGAGGGTTTAGGGGTTTAGGGGTTTAGGGTTTAGGGGTTTAGGGGTTTAGGGTTTAGTTTAGGGTTTAGGGGGGGTTTAGGGGGGTTTAGGGGTTTAGGGTTTAGGGGTTTTTAGTTTAGGGTTTAGGGTTTAGGGGTTTAGGGGTTTAGGGGTTTGGGGTTTAGGGGTTTAGGGTTGAGGGTTTAGGGTTTTAGGGGTTTAGGGTTTAGGGGTTTAGGGGTTTAGGGGGGGTTGTTTAGGGGTTAGGGTTTAGGGTTTAGTTTGGGGGTTTAGGGGTTTAGGGTTTTGGGTTTGTAGGGTTTTAGGGGGTTTAGGGGTTTAGGGGTTTAGGGTTTAGGTTTAGGGGTTAGGGGTTAGGGTTTAGGGTTAGGGTTTTAGGGGTTTAGGGTTTAAGGGTTTAGGGGTTTAGGGGTTTTAGGGGTTTAGGGGTTAGGGGTTTAGGGGTTGGGGGGGTTGAGGGTTTAGGTTTAGGGGTTTGGGGTTTTGGGGTTTAGGGGTGTTTCGGGTTTGGGGGTTTAGGGTTTGGGGGGTTAGGGTTTAGGGTTTAGGGTTTAGGGGTTTAGGTTTAGGGTTTCGGGTTTCGGGTTTAGGGTTAGGGTTTAGGGGTTTAGGGGTTTAGGGGTTTGAGGGGTTTAGGGTTTGGGTTTGGGGGGGGTTTAGGGTTGGTTTGGGGGTTTAGGGGTTTAGGGGTTTGGGGGTTTAGGGGTTTAGGGTTGAGGGTTCAGGGTGTGAGGGTTTAGGGGTTTAGGGGTTTAGGGTTTAGGGGTTTAGGGGTTTAGGGGTTTAAGGGTTTAGGGGTTTAGGGGTTTAGGGGTTTAGGGTTTAGGGGTTTAGGGGTTTAGGGTTTAGGGGTTTAGGGTTTAGAGGTTTAGGGTTTAGGGGTTTAGGGGTTTAGGGTTTAGGGGTTTAGGGTTTAGGGGTTTAGGGGTTTGGGGGTTTAGGGGTTTAGGGGTTAAGGGGTTTAGGGGTTTAGGGTTTAGGAGTTTGGGGGTTTAGGGTTTAGGGGTTTAGGGTTTAGGGGTTTGGGGGTTTAGGGGTTAGGGGTTTGAGGGTTTAGGGGTTTAGGGGTTTAGGGGTTTGGGGGTTTAGGGGTTTAGGGGTTAAGGGGTTTAGGGCTTTAGGGTGTCGCTTACTTGTCGGGTATCATGGGGAACTAAAGGTTAACCTTATTGGCTATATAGGGATTATATAGGGACTCTACTACCAAAAATAAAAGTTAAAGGTTACCTACTTACTCTACTACTCGGTAGAGCTTTCGGGCTCAGGGCTTTTTTACGGTCCTACGGGAGTTCTACCCAGGGCTGTTTTGTGGTTGGTAGAATCTTAGAAGGCTCTGGGGCTGTAGGCTGTAACATCAGGGAAGGCTCTGGGGTTTAAAGGGGTTTAGGGGTTTAGGGTTTAGGGGTTTATGCCGGAAGCTACAAACCGTTTGAATTTGCCTGGAACCGTGACTTCAAACTCCGTACCCTGAATGCATGAAGCCTAAACACAAGCCGTAAAGCCCTGAATGCTTAAAGCCCTGAACCCCAAAACCAAACGCAAGAGACTAGTGTTTTCCCTAACCCCTCAACCCTGGCCTAAACCTTAGACCCTCATAACCGTTATAACCCCTGAACCCTAAGCCCCAAAATCCTAAGCACAAGAACCCCAAACACGAAAATCCCAAGCAGCATAAGAACCCTAAACCCCACAATCCTAAGCATAAGAACCCTGAGCCCGAAAATCTGAAGCATAAGAACCCCAGACCCGAAAATCCTAAGCTCAAGAAACCTAAGCTCGGAAAATCCTGAGCATAAGAACTCCAAACCCGAAAATCCTAAGCATGAGAACACTAAACCCGAAACACCACGAGAATCCCCCGAGTTCCCGACCTCCCATTTGCTGGAGCCTCGCGCATATAGGGCTTTGGGGCATGGGATTTTGGGTGTTAAAATACGGCACCTAATATTCAGGGTACCCAAAAAAGCACCATAATTTTGACAACCACCCAAATGAGAATCCACCCACAAAACCCTGCCAACACGCCACACCATCGAAGTTTCTCATCTTCTCAATAGCCCCGCCCACCCCCCTCCACACTCTTGGAGTCTAGGGTTCAGGGTCTGCACGTTGATTACGTAAGCTCTTGAAGAATCCTCATAAAATGCCTTCAACCCCTCCAATACAGAAGCCTGAAAAACTAGAACAGGATTTGTGGTTTTTTTGTTCGTACATTTTCGTGTATTAATCCTATTTCGGAACACTAAGCTAATCATCAGACGCGAACATTAAAAAGCCCTACCTAGACCCGAACCCTGATCACCCCTAAACCCTACACCGTAAACCCCCTGAAGCCCTTTCAGCCAGGGACTTAGTAAGTATGGTTATACGTACCTTACGTGGGGTTATAAGTAGTTACAAGTACAGTTACCTTAATTCTAACCCTAGTTACTAAGTCGCATGATCCTCTAAGTAGACCCTAAGCCCCTACAGATCTCACTATAAGGCACCCTATAGATCCCATTATAAGGAACCCTGATAGATCCCTTGTAAGGAGCCCTTGAAGGAACCCTTTATCCAAGGGTAAAAGGAGGGACCCTTAATAAGGACCCCTGGGTATATACCCTTAATATAGCTATCATATAGCCCATTATAGGGTAGGGGTCCCCATTAAGGGTCCCTCCTTATCCCCTAAACCCTAAACCCTGATAGGTCCCTTTAAAGGAACCCTAAGAGCCCTAAAGTAAGGGTCCCTCCTTTTCCCCCTTTGACTTTCAGGAACCCTAGCCCTAGCCATCCCGGCCTTCGGGACCCAAGTACCAAGTCCGCTCCAATTCGCTCGCCGTTTCCGCCAAGGTGGAGTACCTTGGAAGGGGCGGAGTAGGGTTCAGGGTCTTCCACGCGCGTTGTAGCTTCTCTAGAAGCTGTTTTCTTATTTGTAATTTTGTTGTAATAAACCTGGCCCGTCAATGGCTGGGGCTGAGTGCTGGGTTCAGGGTTGGTAAGGCTTTTGGGGTTCAGGGTGTAGGGTTTAGGGTTTATGTAGGATGTTAGGATTCTGACGCTTAGGATTGTGGTGCTTTGCATTTTGGGGTTCGAAGTTGTAGCGAATTACGTAGGTTTGTTGAAATTGAAGTTTTAGGCTTAGGCTTCCATGGCTACGGGGCCAGATCCACAACGGCTGTATTTGTTTTTGCTGGTTTTGCATGAGAGATTCGCTGGGTATGGGCTTTTGAAAGCTTAGGGGCCCGTGGGCAGCTATACGTAGGAAGGCGTGTGCCGA